TAATGGTTAAACCCTTCTAAAAGATGCTAAGATGTCATATTTCTTGTAAGGGAATTTGATACCTATAAATTGAATTTTAACTAATTATGTTGAATTGGCCAAATTGAAAAGAGAATTGACTAGGAATTTAAAATAAATTACATAAGAAAAATTGAGGAAAATCGAAATCTTAACTACTCATTCTTGACAACTCTTTATTTAGTCTTTGCGTTCTAATTTTAACTTAATCAATTCTTACTTTCTTATTATTGCCCTTTACACCAATTTTATTATTTAGATTCATCTAATACAAATAAAATAAAAAATTAATGATTAAAAGTATTCAAATAATACTCTTTCTTATTATTTTATGGAAAAAGTATGTATCATTTTAAAGGACACAAAGTTATGTCATTTTAAGTGAGAGAAAGAGATAAATTATGGAAGAGAGAGTTGGGGAATTTTTTTTTAAAGATGTGGGTCTCATCTCTTTGTAAGAGTGAAAAGATGTAAGGTGGTCATTTAAAATGACACACTTTTTCTCTTATTTTATTACTTATAGGATTGGTGTACTTAATATGTCTGCAATGACATTATTGAGTCAGGGAATAGAGAAACTCTTGGATGCATCAGATGTAGGTGCATCAGATATAGATATATCTTTGTCTAACGGGGAAAGTTTTTGGGATTTAGTGGAAAAATAAATAAAAATAAGGGCATAAATGAAAAAATAATTTCCTTATTTTGAAAAAAAATGTATCCAATTGAGTACATGTGATGTATGAACTCGCTTAAGTCTTGATCTTTAATTTAGTTACAAGTACACATGAGACGTAAGCGATTTTGCTATCAAAATAAATATAGCTCTTTTATATTTACGCTATATTAGGGACATAACTTTGGTGCATCGTATATATTCAACTGGATATATTTTTTTCCACATTTGAAAAAGTTTCGTCACTTTTGAAAAAAAAATTCCGCCACATTGAAAAAAAATTACTTTTAGAAAAAAAATATCCAATTTGGTATATTCGATGCACCAAAGATTTGTCCCTATATTAGCTCAAACCATATGCATGGTACACAAAGGGTATAAATTTAACTATTTTTTTTGAATATATATTTGTTAGGTTTATGCTCTTCAGCTTAAAGCCCAATTGAGCTCAGTGTATGAGAAGAAACCGAAAAATCTAGAGCCTAAGTTTAGGGTTAGAGTTTCTTGATAACTATATATTCTCACTTTTATTCATCAGCCTCCAAACAACTGTTGTTACATTGGCTGAGCTAAAGTCAGTTCTAATAGTGAGAGAGTACCAATATACTAGCCCCATTATTCCTTGAGGATAGTTTGAAAGGTTTGCCCCAAACCAGCTTCAACTAGGTAGTTGTTTGTGTTGAGATGTTGATCAAGCCAATTTCTGAAGCCAAGCCTGCACAAAAGGGATCATCTTAAATCTGCGCTCCAAGAAATAACCTTATGTGAACGATTTTAGCACTTCCGCATGTACAATTAATCCAAAAATATTTGCTTTCCCAAATTTTACTGGTTCATTGATCGCTGAAAATAGTTTCACTAGTCATGTATTTTTCTTAATAATTTCTGTTATATTCTCTCAAAATATCTCTCTAAATCTGTATAAAATAAAAAATAAAAATCTCTCTAAATCCTAATGGGTAATCTTCGTACTTAATAAAAAAAAAGTATTACATGAAAAAATAGGCATATTTAAGCATCTTGATAATATAAAAAGTATTCAATACTTTATTTATTTAACAAGTAAAATGATTACAAGGAAGAAAAAATTCTTAATTAAACATCGTTTACGACATTATCTTTAAAGCATTCAAAGTATTATCTGATATGTGTAAACAATACTTTTAATTATAGGTTGCATTTTTATCATACTTCGCACAATTTTGAGCATATCAAATAATTAGCAAATATCTCGTATTGCACGAACATTTTTAAATTTATATAATATTTCAGGAGTATAAATTAAAAATAAATATTTGAGAAAAAATATTTAAAATTATAAAGAATAAATACATACTTAATTTTAAAATAATAATAAATCTAAAATTTGAAAGAAAATTTAAAAATGATAAGTATTATTGCTTAAAAATCTCAAATTAAAAATTAAGTCATTCTTAAAAAAATGTATTCTAAATTGAGATTTAGGTTTGGATAATTTAAAGACATCTAAAATAAATGGATAATTTTCGTCAATCTTAACGATAGATTTCTGTCAATCTAAGAGTTATAATTTATTGAAAATTAATAATTAATTAATAAGTGTGACCCAATAAATTACAACCGTTAGATTGACGAAAATCAACAGTTAAGATTTAGTAGTAAGAAAAAGAGGTAATAACTATAACCTCACTCTTACTATATTAAAAAGATTTTGCATTATTCTTAATAAAAAATTGGAGCCTTTCATTATAGCTATTTTTTTGTTGTTGTGAAAGGTAGATAATTTTAAAGGGGTTTGCATTTGTCATTTAACATGACACAACATTTTGTGGGGCCCACAATTTTTGAAGAAAAAAAAAATTACGGCACGCAAAACGAATCTCTATAACATTACACAATCACTTTTCCTACTATATAACTCTTATAAAACCCAATTTTAAATGAAAGAATCGGATATCCACAGAAGACAAGACACGTGAGACTTAAATAGGAAACCTGTACAATCAAATTATTTGCTACATAAAAGCACAATAAATCAAAATTCAAAAGTAACAATATTATAAAAATCTAAAGCCTCAAAAAAAAAAAAATCTAAAGCCAAAGATAAATAAGAGCATAATAGCTGCTTTTCAACGACAAGATTTGGACTTCTGAACAGATTTGGTTAGGTATGGCTCCCAACTGTAAGTTATTATTTAAACTCATTGCATTTTGAAACAAATATTTAATTTTTTTTATTTCTTTACCGATTATTTAACTTAATTTATTTTGAACATAGCCGAATTTACAAAAGGTGGCTCTATAAGATCATTTTCTCCATTAAATTGCTTTTTTAGAGTTTAACGTATCATAAAATAAGTTTAAATATTTTTATTATTAAATAAATATCTCAAAAATATAAATATTACTGCATTTATCATTATAAATTGCTAAGTGGTAAACATAAAGACGTATTTAATTATTGTTTTGTATCTTTTTTTCAGTATAGATTATTTTGTATCTTTGGAAAACCATTTCGGAGACAAATACTTTTAAAATTTTAATATAATAATACACTAATCATTTCAGAAATCATTTTAAAATATACTCTAAGGATTTATATAATTAATATTTCCAATTATAATATAGATGCAGGTTGTTTTGAATTCATTTCTATATCCTTTTTTAAACTATCATCATAACTTTATCTAAGCTGTGTCGAAGTTTATTGATAAAACACTACAACAAAATTGCTCTTTAGCCATGGCAAAAACCGTGGCAAAATATGATAAAAATCGTGGCTAAATGTGTTGTCCACATCTTCAAAAACCGTGGCTAAAACAGGAGTTGCATTATTTTAACCACGGTCTTTTTTGCATCTAAGCACGGTCTCTATGAGTGTGGTAACATTGAGTTAGCCACGGTTTATATTATATTAGCCATGTTATATTCGTGGCTAAATGATTTGGATCCCAATGATGAAAAGTTTTATTTTGCCACATACAGAACCGTGGCTAATTATAAGGTTTTTTTTTAAAAAAATAAAAAATATTACAAATTTTCCCGATTATATAAAAAGCAAATAATAAAAATTGCGTTTGATACAAGAACCAAAAACCAAATTAAGGGAGATAATCAAATAAAATGGAGTACACAATTTAACACAATACATTTTTTTTCTATTCATATGAGAAAATAATGTTTTTTACACAATTTCTCAAAATTTATATTTTTTTTTCTATTTCATATAAGCTGAAGGAATTTCGTTTACTAACAAAAGGAAGTTTCCACTTACATCATTTAAGAGAAAAAATTGTCAAATAAAGCTAAAATTATAAGTTTGTGATTGTCACAAGACATCTATACAAAATATTAACTTCATTGTTCAACTAAACAAAATAAGACAACACATTTTTAAATCTGTCTTCCAAGAATTGTTGTATGCATCTTATCCTTTTAAAAGAGCTTATCACCAAATCATACATGTATAAAAAAAAAAATAAGATATGCTAAAATGTCACATAATTTTTCAATGTCAAGAAATTACTACCTTTTATTTTTTAGATAAAATATGAACATATCTGGAGGGTTATTCCTGGAACAGAAAACCAGAGAGCCAGTCTGAGATTTAGCCAACGAAATGACATGATGTTGCTTGCAATCCAACAGTAAATCATAAATTAAACCAGTCTTTTAGCCCAATAGTTATAAACCAGAGAATTACCTCCCATTTTCAGCGTACCTCCCGTTTTCAGCATGTCTCCTCCTACCTGAATCTTCATGCCATAAAACAGGTTCAGTTTTCAGATCCCCAATTGTCACAGTCTGCACAGAAAAGAAGATAATTTTATTTGCCCACCTACTTGAAGACAAAACACAAGCAGCAGCATGCTACGTTAAACAGACTAAAATCCTACCGTAGAAAAAACCTTTGAAATTGAACACCATACTCGGGAAAGGAAACTTAGGAGTCAGAGGAGTATCAATAATTAGCAACTAGAAGGTTTAAATACCTTTTTTTTTTTTGTCTTCTAACTAATTTTATATATATATATGAGCGGAGAAGTAGGATGAAAATGGGCTGCATTATATTTGGTATTAGTTGTGTGGTGTTGGTTCCAGGATAAAAATGAACCCATCATGATTCTTAAGTTCTAGCAACAAGTGGATATAGATATAGATTTGCACTTATCATTTGGATTAAGATGAGATTATAAGAGGCTTGTATTTTATGTGTGGATTTGTTTAGTTTTAAATTCCACACTCTTGGATTACAATTTTTCTATTTAATATATTATTGTTTTAAAGGTCAAAGTAACAATTTGAATAAATTATTGTTTTAAACTCAAATTGGGACCAATCCATTGTCCTAATTCGTTACATGAAAACTTTCCCTTCAAGAGCTGGTACTTAGAGATACAAAAGTCCTCCCACAAACATAACAAAAAGTAATAAAGTAGTCTAAATGATTACTAGTTACGTATGTAATTGCAATGATATTGTTACCTGTGCAATGGCAGCATAGCGAGCCAGACCCCAGGCTGCTTCCTTGACTGCCAGAGCAGAGGGACCGTTGGGGATGCTCACAACCGTACGCCTATATAATTAATCAATTACATAGAACTTTAGTTAAGATGTTAAAAAGGACATGATATTATGATTTTTGTGAGAAACATGGGGATACACACTCACCATTTGGCGAAACGGGCACCTCGCCAGCATTTACAGTAAGCACATGCGGTGTGAAATTGGCACCAATTGAGTATGCAATTCCCTCACCTATAAAATACATATACGGGAAGATGAATAGATGGAGAGAGACAGGAAATAAAATTAGAACCTGTCTCAATTCCAAAATCAAAGAAAAACTAAATATTATATCTTTAGGATAATCAACTTGGCATATTAAACCATAGAAAATTATATCTGCTATCAAATAGCGATGGAAAGAAACGCAGATATTATTTATCATAACTAAGAAAATACAAATAAACACACCTTAATTGGACAATGGTAGCACCTCCTTCTACAGCAGCCTTAACAGCTTCAACAATAAACAGCCCCACTTCCTATTCATGGCTGAATCTGTTACAGCATAAGCAATAAGTCATTTGGATTGAATATATATATCCTGTCTATAAGAACTCTGATTTCTATTCTTAAGTGCCAAAAATGGTCAAAAGGGCCTTGGGCTCCATTTCCTATGACCAAGTCTCTACTGTAATCCAAGGCAGCCTCAATGAAACGTCTAGCTACCTGCCAGAATTCAGATATGTAAAAATATTACAATGATAGCACATTCCAATTTTCTTTCTCTTTTATTTTAATTTCCTACTTCTCTATTTTATTTATAAAGCACAAAAATAAATAAATAAAAAACAGAGAAGGGGTAATTTATGTACTGCACAAAAAGTTACTTTGGAAGATAAAGATGTCCCTGCATTTTTAATCTCTGGTCACCTTGTAGTTGAGACCAAATAATTGCCGAATATCATATCATATCATAGATTTCATAATCAACAGCTCCTCTCAATGCTAAATATGCTCCAGAATCAAATCCACATAATGGCACACTATTTGCCTACACTTTTTAGTTGCTGAACATACTAGGAGACTAAACCAGTTACCTACTATTTGCAATTAGTAGTGGTGGTTGGAGCTTCTCTTACAATGTTAAACGGGCAATATTTTTTAGGCCAAATATAAATTAATTGGTTTCTTTATACTTAGGTCTTAGGGTACTAACATGATGTGCATTTGAGGAAAAAATGGTTAACAGGCCTGAGTCTTTAAAAATGCAACTAAAATTCTATTACTACTTGTGTGGGTAACTATCACGGTTTACATTTTTAAGAAATAGTGTACGAGAAAGGGAACACAAATTTTGGGTATTAAACTCCTACAATATGAAATGGCAACTAATTAAAACAGAATCAGAGCTTTAAAAGTATTATTTCTGACAGTTTGCAGCAACGAATATTTATATTAAAGTTTATATTCTAGTGAGTAATCAATAGAACTTCAACTCTCTCTTTCAAGATTTTCATGTATCTGATTAAGTCAAAGGCATATTCCTTTGATAAATAACCACGCCATTTTGATCGAGTCCCGGTAAAGAATTGAGAACAACTTTATTCAGTATGTCTCTAGCAAGTTCTCAAATAAAGACTTTACCAAATTTTGTCTCGAAAGAAATTTTCACACATTTAAGTTCTGTGCTTAAGAAGTTTTCTGCCATATAAGGGGGGAGAAATAGAATCTATTCTCTTCTTCACCTTGTTAGAAGTTTTAAACAAAATTGCAGCATCTTATCACTTCAATTAAATTAAATACATTGCCTAAATAAATAAATAAAAATTTAGCCCAGGGGTGACCACTATTTTAGTTATGTTAATTTAGGTAATAATAATAACAATAAAAATAAAAATATCATAAAATCCACTGGTAGTGTACCAATAAATAAATGAACAGAAAATTTACCAAAATAAATAAATATAAATGAACAGAAACAGCACATGATTTCATAAATCTAAACAAAAAAAATGTCAATCGCTTCAACGATTCAATCGAATTCAACCGAATAAAACGAAGGGAAAACAACAACACAAAGGGAGGTGATTAATGCTCACTTTGTTGTTGCCGAGATCGATATATCCACCCAAATCTTCCTCCACAGCCTGAACCAGAGTTCTAAACACGTAAATCAAACACATCAAACACATTATGAACACGAATCATGAAAGAAAAGGCAGAGACTAGAGGAGAGAAAATTGACCCTAAGCGAAGGTCAACGACAGCTTGAAAAAGAACCATAGAAAGAATAGGCAAAGAGTTAGACCGGTTCTTCAATTGTTGAAGAGCAAAGCCATTGTGAAATTGAAAGGGAAGAAGAAGAAATGGAGAGAAAATAAAAGAGAAAAACTTTTTATTTTCTTAGAAAAGTGGAAGGAAATTTTGGGTAAAAAGAAAGAAAATAAGAAAGTAAATTGGATGTAAGAATCTAAATATGCTTTGATCTGAATATAAATTACGTTAGGCATTTTATTTTTTAGTCTTGCTTAAATATTGAAGGTCATGAAATTTTCATAGGGAAAGGATTTGGTAGTATGATTTATGTTACCGTGGCTTAATGAGTGTGCCCAAATGCTGTGTTTCTTGTAGTGAAAGAACTAATAACGAATTATCATTATTTGAGTTGTTTGCTATGATATTGCTCATTAATTAGCATACAGAAAAGGAAGTTTTCTAAAACAATTAATTATTGTTTGGTTCGGGCGGATCAGGAATGTTCACCGGATAGATGATAACCCAATATGAAATTTGTATCCTCACGAGTATCTATGAGAGATGTCGCAAGGGTATATGGATCAATGTGCACTAATGGTAACGGCATAGCCAAGATGTAGATGAGTGCACAGTTATAGCAAAAATAAAGATGAGTTAAAAGTGTGTACCGATGATGATGACTCTTATTTATAGTGAGTTACTTGACTGGGCCTCCACTTCTTCTATTTTGAGGTTGTTGTAAGGCCTTATTTCATTGTTGGGATAATATCTCTTGTATCTTTATCCTTTGCTAAAATGGTACTTGATTGTCTGTTGGGTTGTTAAGATATTGACCAAATATCTCGATCCACAATAGTTGCCCCCTCCCCCCGCTCTGTAGTTCGAAAGCTCAAATTGCTGAGGTGCAGAGGTTTGTTGAGAATCTCTGCATGCTGGGCCATCAAATTTAGCCAAATCACTCATTATGGGCCGAGTTGATGAGTGCATGTCAACGTCAGTCTTCTACTTGACTTCACTCTAGGGTTCCAAGTTGACTTTTAAGCCACACTCAGGTTTTCATGAGGTCCGCACTAGCCGGCGAAATGTCACCTTTACTTTGCGACAATTTCCTTTTGCAGGGATAGGTCGACACTTTGGCACGAACCCGGCCCTGTTGCGATCTCGGCCTGACTCTTCATCTTGTCCCAACCACTCTGGCGGTAATACCTTTCCACGTGTCACATCCGAATTGGTTGGACATGCATCGAGGCATGCATGTTGTCTTCGTTTTTACCACGCAATGATGATGTGTTGCGCTATTAATGCTAGCATCTCTTCAAATTACATTCGTACTCCTGCTTTTCATCTTTGTGCGCAAATGACAGTTCCCTATTGTGTATCTCTTCACGTTTTCTTTTCCATAAGCGCCTTGATTCTGTAAATATTCTGCTCCCTCAAGGCTTCTTGCACTCCATCCTTCCAAATTCCGTGTGGGGTGTTGTTGTTCCTGCTTCTTCGTTCATTTCTCACTTTCTCTAGCAAACAAGTAACCCAAACACTGTCTTTTGTTTTTTTTTGCTGTATAATATTTGGTCCTTGTTCTTTGAATGCACACACATGTTGTATGGTTATTCTAGGACTTTTGGGGTTTCTTTCCTTGCTAGCCCCGAGTATCGTATCGTTTTTGGTGTTTGGGAGTTACCATCGAATATAATGGATGATAAGGGTCAAAAGTTAGCGACCCATGGCCGTGATGGAGGTTCCCGAGATGATGTTCCCCAAGAGGACTTCACCAAAGTGCCATATAGGGTGAAGCATTGGTTCTAAGGAGTTGACTGTTGATAAGTCCTTAATTTATTATGTATTAAGGACCAAATTGAGCAATTAATTAATCTAAATTCAGACAAAACACATGAAAATTATAATTTATTTATTGAATTATTTTCAGGAATACTTTCATGAAATTAATTTATTTTGTAGGAATTTTTGTTATTAAAGAATATCAAGATGGAAGAGAATAAGAAAAGCAAAGCGCAAGTTATTTTAAGTTGGCGCAAATTGCTCCAACTTCTCTCACATCATGGCGCAAGTTGCGCCAAGCATCTTGAGTTTTTGTAAAGTGGCGCAAATTGCGCCAAATTTCCAGCATCCGTCACTCGATATCTTCAAATCATTTTAAAGATTTAAATTAAAGATTTGATTGAAGATTTCTTTGGAGATTTGAATATCTCCTTCAAGTTGAGATTATGTTAAAAGAAATGACACCAAATCTTGTTAAGGATTTTTAAAAAAGGAAATAAAAGATGTTCCTCCTTTTATTATAAAAAGGGAACTCGAAGGCTGGAACAGAGACATTCGATTGGAGCATGAAGCATAGAGCACAAAGCAAAGAGCGCACAAAGAACTCAGAGATCAGAGGCGGTGAAGAACTGGAAAAGGATCAAAAGCGGAAACGCGGAGATTCAACCTCAGTCTTCATCTAGGAATTTAGTTTAATTGTCTTTTAATTTTCTTTTAATATTTTGTTAAAGTCAGACATGAATATGTCTGGCTAATTTTCTTAGTAGTTAGGGATATGGATCTAACGTGAATTCTTTTGTTGTTTAAATTGTTTCTTTAATAAATTGTCTCAAGTTGTTTGTGTTTTACCTCAGAATTATTTTTACGCATTCTTGTATGACTTGATCACTCATATAGGGATTTGAGGGTTAGGGTTCACAATAGAAATATTGAGATTTTAATCCTGACAGGGGTAAATACCAGTTCTTGCATGATCTAGACATAGACTTGTAGGAATTGCAAACTTTCATAATTCATCGTGCTTAATGCTTAATCTGAAAAGGGTTTCTAAGATATTAGGATTCTAATTGGGTTAAATGGTTAAATAACTAAGACATTAGGGATTTAACCAATTAGTAATTAGAAGATGAATTGTTTGAAACAATTGGGAT